CTCTCTCTCTCTCTCTCTCTCTCTCTCTCTCTGAGTCTCTTATCTCTCTTTTACAGTATCAACTTCAAAGACCACTAATAAACATAAAATGTTAGTTTTACTGTAATCTAATGAATGTTGTTGTTTTGAGCTGTGTTCATATCCCCTTGTCACTCTATCCCGATTGTTTGGACCAGCTCAAACTTTTTATGATCCAATTTTTGAACGTTCTCAAAGCTTTTCTTACGCTGCTTGACTTATGATTAGAAGTGAGTGTCAAGAAAAGAGAATAAAAATTTGCTTTGAAACAATGAAAAATCTTTTTAAAGTGTGTGTCTGTCATGCATGTTGAGGTGTCGTTTTAGATAATATTATAATTTTATGCTTTGGTTTTGTTCAATCATATGAGTATGTAAGAGTTAGTTGTGTCAATTCCACTTTACTGAGGGACGGTATTTGAAGACAATACGTACTTCACAGATGTTACAAACAGACATTTCAGATTATTAATTGGGCTGGTTTACTTAGACCATCCGTCTCCGATATGACGGCTGCTTTTAATGTACATAACGCACACTGCACCCTCTTGTTTAATATAATATGTTTTTACGCCCCCATAAACACAATTTAGACCATTTAGGAGACGGGCTTCTGATCCTGCCTGTCAGAGACAAATCGGGCTGTAAGTGACACAACATCAAAGCAGAAAGACCGAGATACTCGATAAAAATCACTCCTCCCTCGGAAACTGAACTTGGGTCATATTTGTGCGACAGCGAAGCACAGACGCCAGACCATCCCCCTCGTCGCAAAGCGTTCTGTCAGAGAAAACATCACCCGAGGCGGAATCCCATCCCCTCCTGTTAGCGATGTGAGAGTTACGAGAGGCTGGATCATTTGATAAAATCTCAACAAAGAGTTGTGAATATACTGACTCGTTGAGGATGCGCATTCCGCTTATTCGACAGCGCCTGAAGACACACTGCTTAGAGGCACTTTTTAAAAAAAGAGAAAAACTGCTATTCTTACAGGGTTGAGTTTGTTTTTGTTTTTTTCCAATTCTGTTTTCTTTATCTGAAACTTGAAGGGCAGACATGCGTAATATGAACATACAAATTCACGTTTCTAGTTTAAGCAGGTTGATTCAAAATGTGCCGCAACATTGTCTAAGCCTGACACTGATGTGGTCATATCAGTATTTGATCGCTTTTAAGCACAAGGGGGCTATTCTGAAAAACACTGTTTTGAGAAAATCGAAGGTAAAGGTTTTGCCCCTTGTTCAGTTTCTTTAAAACACAAGGAGAGTGTTCTCTGTAACCAAACAACTATACACTCCAATGAAACTTAACTTCTCCTCGAGGTAGGGCAATGGCCACTTTTGGAAAAGGTCAAGATTTCTGGAAACCCCAGAAATCTAGGTTAGCCCGCTTGTCCTTGAAAGCGACCATTTATTATGATTATGTCCCTTACGTCCCTAAAGCGTGAATGGCCTGAATGCATAACGTTTTTCTTTTGTCATTACGTGCAAAGACCCCTTTTTCAACACACATACACATACACTGAGTGGCTATTGTATTAAAAAAATAACTAGATCTACACAAAAGCCCACATGACCGCAAGAAACACACACCACACAAATTATACGAAAACAGACAAATACAAACAGTGGCACTTCAGGCACAACCAGGTAGGACTATAAAGAGAAAAGGACAGCATAATAAAGTTCACATCTGCGTATTCATCTTCCGCAATGCATAATATTATAAGGGAAGTAGGTTGCTGTTCAGTGTTAAAGGCCACTGGCCCACAACGCATAAAGCATAAACATTTATTGCAGACGAGACTCTCGTGAACCAGCATAAATTATAAGTGACAAACATAGATTATCTGTAAAAATTTGAGTAGGAAAACATTTTATATTGTTAAAACAACGTTTCCATAATAAGATAGTGTAGGTTGTTTCAATGCCTTTTTTCGTGGGAAAAATATTGTAGATTTTTATCACTGATTGGGTTAGGAAGAGGTAACGAATAATTTTCTTTGATTCGCAAAGTTTTTAACAAGGTAACTCTTGGCTTCCAAAACCGTGGGAGGTTGATGATGCACTATGTAGCTTCTTGAAAAGGAATTGTGAGAGAGAATACATTGAAATTGCGACAGACTTTTTTCTTCTTTGTTCTATATTCTGTACACGATGATAAGTAAGCCTACTATTTACTTCGCTGGGAAATAACGAAGTGCTTCCTACACTTTGAGATAATAAGTTTCTAGCTTCAGTAGCCTAGTTGATTCTGCTTAATTCACAAGAACGATATAGATGTATGTAGCACTTCTTTGGAAATCTGCCAATTTCTAAATGCATAGGTCTACCCCAGCATTTAGCGACACAATGCATACAATCAGAACGTAGTAATATATTATATTATATAGTGCTTCCACTTCTCTAAGATCTAAACACCCGGATGAAGTTTTGCCGATACCCAGAGAGGCTTTCCAGAACTTGACCTGAACATTGTTTATTTCCTCCCATTTCTTGTTACCCAAAATTTTAAAAAATATACGTACATCAACAGTGGTTTTATCTTAATATCGAAACTGTTTTTCGTTTGTTTGTTTGTTGTTGCTGTTGGCTTTTCTTGGGGGGGGGGGGGGGGGTGGTTGGGTCTTTTTTATGTTTCAAAGTCTAATTCTTGGAATGCATTGAAAATCCCCCTTGTCCGGAAGTGAACTAGTAATTATAATGAG